AGTCCCACCAGCCTTTTGCACAACACAGGTCACTTTCTGCCAAACAAGCCCCGCCCAACGCTTTCGAGGGGAAACCCACCCTGGATAAAGCTTGCATGCTAAAGCATAAACCCCAAACTTCACGTTCTAAAGTATCACAACGTAAGTCCGTGTTGCGGGTGCCAAACTGCATTGACCTCCTTCCTCCCGCATTGAGATAGATCCCCCTTCTCCATGATTGGTACAGTAAATACCATACTCACTGTTGCGTCTGGGTCGCGCCGACTGGACCATGAACTGCGAGCTACATCTAAATGTTGTTGAGGATGGCGCCTGCGCCGCGGCTTTCTGCCGTCCATCGTGGGTGGCGGTGCTCTTGTCCTTCGTGCACGTGCGTTCGTGTGGTGACACAACACCACACATGAACACAAAACAGTATCAGCACTGGCTGATTCTCTTTGACGACTCTGCAACCAAGCTGCTGGAATCATCGACCCTGCGCCTTTTGGAGGAAGTCTCGTCTCGGCCCCCCCAACCTGCTGCAAAGCAACCGGCCACGTCACATGAATGCAGCCTGAGATATGCATGAAACGAAAAACGCAAATTGCAGGTTGTTGCCGTTCTGTCGGGTCACTGTGTTCATCTCGCCGACCACCTCGGCCCAGGCAGGACAGTTTTGGGTTGCACGATGTTGCGAGCTGTCTTTGTAGTTGGATGTTGTCTGCGAATGTCAGCCCAGCGACTGTTGTTGGAGCTCTCCTCGTAGTCCCACCAGCCTTTTGCACAACACGGGTCACTGGTGTTTCTGCCAAACAAGCCCCGCCCAACGCTTTCGAGAGGAAACCCACCCTGGATAAACCTTGGATGCTAAAGCATAAACTCCAGACTTCACGTCCTAAAATATCACAACGTAAGTCCGTGTTGCGGGTGCCAAACTGCATTGACCTCCTTCCTCCCGCATTGAGAAACACAGGTCACAGGCGTCTCTGCGGGCCTAATCTTGCCCAACGTTGCTGCTGCTGCTGCTGCCGTTGCCGTTGCCGTTGCCGTTGCCGTTGCCGTTGCCGTTGCCGTTGCTGTTGCTGTTGTTGTTGTTGTCGTGATTGTTCTGGTTGCTGTCGTCGTCCACATCGTCGTCGTCGTCGTCGTGGTCGTGGTGGTCGTGGTGGTGGCGGTGGTGGTGGAGGTTGTAGCCGGAAGAGAATAATCAAGCATCGCAGTACCCATTCTTGGAATGCAGCCTTCGCCCCACGTTCCGCCAGGTGCATCGCCGTGCTTGCTCCGGCGACACCACATCCTCCAATAACGACCTGGTGGGCTTTCTGGGTACCAGGGGACCTGCAGGGCTTCGTTTGTGTAACGAGAAGCTTCCAAAACTCTTATCTGTGACTTTTGGCTTAGGATGCAAACTGAGGATGTCAGGAGACATTCCATTCTGTCTACTTGGGGGCTTCGGGGTAATGTCGGGGCCTTATAATGACTAGAACAGGGTTTTGTGGGTTCCTCATTATAGCTATAGTACAACATACCCCCAAACCCTGTTCTAATTATTAAGGCCCCTATACTAGATTGCCGAGGTTTGCGAAGTGGAGCCCAACTTTGGGGCTTGCACCCGGACATGTGGGTAGTTCTCTAAATTAGGGTCCCTTGTGGAGTCCTTCTTATACCGTGCCGTACTATATTGGGGACCTAAACAGGGAGCCTAATTTAGAGAACTACCCATGTAGCTGCAGGTATGCTGTAAAGCCTCAGGGTCTCCTATCGAAGTCCGAGACGCCCCAAACCCCGGAAACTCCCAAAGTCAAAACCCTTCAACCCAAGATCTTTAGGGCTAGGGGCCAGGGTTTAGGGTTTAGGGTTTAGGGTTTAGGGTTTAGGGCGGGAAGCCCTAATGTGTAGGAGCCTAAAGACTTACCTGCCAATACAATTTTTTGGGGGCTCCTTATTACAATTATAGTATAATGGACCCCCAACATATCAAGGCCCCTATGTTACACTCCAAAGTCCTCGAACATCAACCCTAAACCCTAAACCCGAAACCCCTAAACCCTAAACCCAAACCCCTAAACCCTAAACCCACAACCCTCAACCCTAAACCAACCTGAAATCCGAAACCTGAAGCCCTCAACAGGGTAGCTCTCTGAATTCGGGTACCCCCCCCCGTTGTCGGTGCCCCAAAAAAAACTACGGCACTCTTATAAAACAGGATCCTACAAGGGACCCTGATTTAGATAAGTACCTGACAGTGAAGCCGTGAAGCATGAACCGAGAACCCCACATCCGAACAAGAGGGGTTTAGGGTTTAGGGCTTAGGGCTTACGTTTTTGTTTTTTGGTGGGGCCCTTTTCCGAGGTTTAGGGCTTAGGGTTTATGGTTTAGGGTTTAGGGTCTACCAGCCCGTGCACCCTCAGAGGTCCGAGGTAACAGCGGTTAAGCGCCAAAGCCCCAAACCTGGAATCCTGGACCAGGATTGGGGTTGTTCTCTAAACTGGGATCCCTTTTAAAAGGTCCTCTTTGTAAGGGGTGCCGTATTCTGTTGGGCCTGATGAAGAGAACTACCCATTTATGGCCGAAGGCCCAAAACCCAAAACCCTAAACCCATTGTTGGGCCTAGATCACTTGAAGCGAAGTAACGACATTTGCACCAAATCAAAAGCATCGCAAAGCCCTCAACGTCACGAAAGCCCGAAATCGCTCAAAGCCTAAAACCCTAAAACCCTAAACCCCTAAACCCCTAAACCCCTAGACCCCTAGACCCCTAGACCCCTAAACTCTACACCCCTAAAACCCCAAAAAAACCTAAACCCCTAAACCCTATAGTAAACCCCGAAAAGTTGGAAACCGGATTAAGGACAAATAGTGCTGGGATTCCTTATGCATTACTCTTAGGGATTGAGGCTATTGGGTTTCCAACTTTTGGGCCTCCACTATAAACCCCTAAACCCTAAACCCTAAACCCTGAACCCTAAGCATGAAGCCACAAACCCTTAAGTGACTGCCTCGGGAGCAGAAGTGAAGCTGACCGCCCTCTGTCGAATCCCCCGGCAAAGACGCCGGGCCAGCATCGCGAGTTGGGGTGCGGGTGGGTTTCGGGTTTCGGGTTTAGGGGTTTCGGGTTGCGGGTTTAGGGTTTAGGGGCTCAGGATTTAGGGGTTTAGGGTTTAGGGTTTCAGGATGTGGGGTTTGGGGTTTCGGGCTCCCTGGTGAAGTGATCTAGTTTGTAGATTCGCCGTTGCATCTTTAGTTTTGGGTTTAGGACTTCTGGTCTAGGGCATGAGACATTTATAGTTCAGGGCTTAGGATTTTTGGCGTAGGGATGAGAGGCTTGGGATCATAGTGGGTCTATGGTTTGGGGCTTGCGATTACGTGTATGAATGGTATAGGGTTTCGGGCTCGTGCGTCAGGGTTTGAGTGCAGGGTGAGGGCCTAGATCTCCTTGGGCTTGGAGCTATAGAGCTGCTTAAGTCCAACATGATGTCTTGGACTGTGGGGCTTAAACGGGTCAGGCTATGGATTTTGAGGTCGAGGCTTTAGGGGTGCTGGTCAACTGTTTCCGTTTCCCGGTTCATGGCTCCGGGATTTTGGGGCGTTACATGCCCAGAGATCAGGGTGCTCACATCTCGTCCTCATCATCAACAAAAAGAACAATGGGTTTAGGGTTTAGGGTTTCTCGTGGCACTCCAAGTATTGTGGCTAACGCTTACGCTGCTTTATGCTGCCATGATCCGTGCTGGCACTGGGCTTTTCAATGCTGCGTCTTGCACTCACCTGTGTTTTTGTTGGTCATCTTGATGGTTGGGTTTAGGGTTTAGGGCTTTAGAGGTTTAGGGTTTAGGGTTTAGGGTCTGGGGTTTAGGGATTGGGGTTTAGGGTTTGGGGTTTAGAGTTTAGGGTCTAGGGTTTAGGGTTTGGGGTTTAGGTCTTAGGGTTTGGGGCTTAGGGGATGTCACGGTTTAGGGCTTCCCGAGCCCGAAGCTTCGGAAGCAAACCCTGAAACGCGAAACCGATGCGAAGACCCTAAACTAGCCTAAGACCCCTGAACCCGAAGACCCCTGAACCCTAAGACCGTACCTAAACCCTGAATACTACGCACGGAAACACGAAAAGCCTGAACCCTAAACCCTAAACCCTAAACCCTAAAACCCTGAACCCCTAATAACCTAAAAACCCTAAGAACCCTAAACCCCTAAAAACCGAAAAACCCTCAGAACCCGAGCCTTCAGAGGAAGCCAGGCGACCCATGTGAGAATTCTCTTAGGGGAGCTTCGGGGTCGGGTCAGGGCTGTCGGTTTAGGGTTTTGGGTTCGGGTTTAGGGTTTAGGGTTTAGGGTTTAGGGATTTTGGGTTTAGGGTTATAGGGTTATAGGGTTTAGGGTTTAGGGTTTAGGGATTTTGGGTTATAGGTTATAGGGTTTAGGGATTTAGGGATTGAGGGTTTGGGTTTAGGGAAGTCTTTACCCATCTCCAACCGCAGAACCTCAGTAGTCAAAGGGAACCTTATTAAGAAACCTTGGGTTTTTATTAGGGTCCCTTATATTAAAGGGTTTAGGGTTTAGGGTTTAGGGTTTAGGGTTTAGGGTTTAGTAATTATT